GAGTCTTGATGTCGTCGTCTCCTCCAGCTAATTTAATAGATTGGGAGTAAACCCTTAGCCATTGTCTTGGTTCGACTTTGCCATCATACTTGGAATGATTTGCTGGTTTAAACTTGTGCGGTAGCTTTAAAGTTTGTAGTCTTCCTGTGAAACAAGAGAATCTGTCATATGGTTTCGTTCTTCCGTAATCTGGCGATCTTGCCCTTCTGTAATAAGACATGTCTTCTTTTAACTTAGACTCTCCGTAGTCATCTTCTTTGTCAAATCTTCTTGATATTTCTTGGTAGCGTTGGCTCAATTCTGGTTTGTCTCTTTCTTGTTGCTTTGAGTAGTGTTCCTTCCTTCCATTGATATCAGCACTTTCTACTGGTCCTATCCTTTGAAAATTCGATTTTTTGGGTGGCTGCTCCCTTTGTGGCTCCTGTGGAATTTCTTCGTCGGGTTGTTTTTCTGATCCCCCGACTTATTTTTTATGGTCTTCCTTTGCTTTCCCGTTATTCGTGAGGGTGTACAACTCCTTTGTTAATTCTTCAATTCTTTCCCTTTTTATATTTTTTGTGGCTTCTTTTTCCGCCTTCTTTCTGTTGTATTCTGTTAGCTCCGCTTTGTATTTATTCCAGACTTGCTCCCTTTGTTTAGCCCGGTTCCTCCTTCTAGCTTTCAATTTGTTCTTCTTTAGCCTTGCTAGTCTTTGCTCATCATTTTCGTTGCTGTCGCTTTTCTCATCTGGCGAGATGTTGCCTTCTGATTTATCTGAAGATTTTATATCTGGTATCTATGGTGGTTCCAAAGGTTGTTCTAACTGCTCTGCCATGTATACAGTATACCTCTTCCAAGCTCTTCTTGTACGGTATTCCATCCTTCGTTTGGTTGAGCTGTCTGTAGTTTCTGAACTGGATCCGAGTTCTTTTCCCTCTTGATAAGGTAATTCTTCAACGCGCGTGCCAATCTAGGCTTTGCTTAAGGTGAAAGAACCTGGCCAATGCACCACACAATCTTGTGGGGTCACTGTCATGATCATCCCTTCTTGTGCTCCCTCTAGGAGTATTCTTCTTGCTGAGTTCATCTTGTTTTGGGTAAAGTGTTGATAGACTGATGCCGCGTTGCGCAGTCCGTAAGTTCCCAAGTTCTTCTTTGAGTTGTATGGGTTGTATCCCTTCGCGATCGTTGTTGTGTCTCCGAGTCCAATTAGGCTTGGCTCTTGTGCCGTGAAGATTGTCTTGGGATCGGGTTGTATCTCTTTTTCAGAGTCGGTTTTGTATCCGCTTTCTTCCTTATTCCGAGTTGTATCCAAAGTTGAGAGTTTCGTCATCTTCTCAGCGAGTTTGTATTGAACTTCGTCATCGAATTCTTTTTCTTCTCGGAGACGGGTACGAAGCTTGCCGTCACCATCAGCCTTGCAGATCTAGGATCCAAAGACAAAGGTTGTTCCCGCTGAAAAGGTCATCTTGAGGTTGAAGTCCGCCGAACTCTCGAGAAAAAATTCGTCGAAAGCCCCTACCTGGCGCGCCAGCTGTCGATGTTTTACCACCGATAGCCTGCCACGGGGGTACCCGGGACAGTTGTTCGGGCTTCGGCGAATAGCGGAATTCGGCGGTTACGCAAAGAAACTCACGATTTATACTGGTTCAGGCCCTCGACTTGGTCGAGTAATAACCTTACGTCCAGTTTTGGCGTTAGCCTGTTTGCCTTATATTGCTTTGAGTATTGGGTATGCGTTCTCTCTTTACAATGGGTACCCTCACTAGCCCTTTATAGTCCAGGCGCTGAGAGGCGTTGTTTGTGTCCTATTCGGATACAAGGTCAGAGTCCTAAGCTACGCTTCGGGCGCCTTTCCTTGTATAGTTTGCGTTGGAGTTTCAGTTTTGCATGTTGCTTTGCTCCGCGTTCTTCTTGCCGATTGGGCTGTAGGCCTTGTTACCAAGGTCTACCTCCTTGCAGTATGGTCCATGGGGGGCCCATAGGGTTCCCCATCGACACTCGCCGCTCGGACGAGTCTCCCACGCGCGACGCTGGTGTGGTGGCAGCAAACAGAGGGTGGGGCAGGGGCCGGTGGCATGGCGTGGCGGGCGGTCGAGCGGCCGCGTGCAAGGAGGGCGCCGCGGTCTCGTGCGGGGCTAGACACGGCTCCCGGTGGTGCCTGGCAGCGGGTCTCTGCGCCGCCTCCTCCCCTCCTTTCTCCGCTCCTCCCCCACGCAGGCTCCCATGCCCAGACCACAGAAGCAGAGGAAGGTGGAGGCGTCGCGTTCGGACGGCGCCGCCGACTTGGCGGTCGTGCTGGTGCTGCCTACGACCCGGAGCCGTCGCCCTCCTGCACCCGCGCATGCGCCGACGGCGAGGAGCCACCACGGGGCCGACCTGCCGGCTCGTGCACGCGGCTGCGAGCCTACTCTGACGAGCTGCGCCCCCTTGCCTTCCCCGTGGCTGTGCCAGTGCCCTGGACCGCCGCCGTTTTTCTTGATGCCGTGGACCGCCGCTGTTGCCAACTTCCCGCTGCCAAGAACCGAACAACCGAATTCACGATGTCGCCCTAGTGCTGTAGAGCCGCCCTGCTCACGCTTTCGTGGACCGGAGCACGAGATCGAGAGCTGCCCGTGCGCTATCCACGCTCCTCCCCAGCGGCATTCGCGTCCTCGGCACGGCGCACAGGCGGCCCCGCCCCGCTCCCCGCGCGCCCCGTCCCCGTACCCCCAGCGGCCACAGCCTGACCCTGCACCCCAGCGGCTAGGCCCCAGCACCGCATCTCTGGTGGCCGCGCCATGGCCGGACCGTCGACCCTGCGCCGCGCGCAATCGAGCCTCGGCCAGACAGGGGCAAAATCACAATTAAGCATAAAAACAAGGGGCAAAATTGCATGGGCATTCATGTCTTTTGTACAAAGTTTAACACCGTTAGGGATGGATGACGGAGCAGAGGCAAACTGGCGCATCGTGAATGGCACAGTAGGGGTAAATTCACAAAGTCAAAAAAATAGGGACAAAATCATAATTTCGATACAAAACAAGGGTACAAAGGCAAAAGCCCCAATATTTTATATAAACCTAGTTAAATTAAAGAAAGTTTAACCAGGACGAGTCCTGTAACAACTCTTTCTATGGGGACTAAGGGAGTAATTGGTAGTCCTATAGATGCAAACAATCATTTAAACTAAAAATTCGGAGGGCCTCCTAAGCTACAACAGGGCAACATATATTTCTGCTTGCTTGAGCCCACATCAACTGAGCTACACTTGCACAAGTGCACAAAGAGATTACTCAGATTAGCAGAGTTTCTGGTCTCATGGGGCCAAGGCTTTTTTTGGATCCTGACCACAGCCGTACCGCATATTCGATTCTCACGAGTTGCAAGTGCAACAAATTACGTTTGAAAAATGATGTGCCGAACTTTTTGCAAGAAATGCTGTAAATAAGCACCGGAGGGACGCCGAACTTTTTTCAGCGCGCTATAGTTCCGGTAAGAGGGCAAAGGTGAGGCGTGACGACTGACAAGCTATGGTGCGTAGGTAACTAAACAAGACTCAAACCTGCAAATTACTGAAATATACTCCCTTCGTAAAAAAAAATGTAATTCTCGTTTCCCAAGGAGTCAACCGATTTCAACTTTGACCAAAGTTCTACGAAAAGTACTAACATTTATAATACAAATACCAATGTTGAATATCCGGACTCACCTTCTAAACGGATTCGGTCTCGAATACGGTCGAAAAATATCCGTATCGTTTTCACCCCTACTCATAACAATGCCTAAATAAATGGATTACAAATTACATCCACCAAGGTTCATATGCAATAGACAAATTACATCCGCAAGGTCCATAGCTCCAACAACTTAGAAAATAAAAAAAAATCTAGAATTGAAAATTGAACTGTCTTAAGAACTAAAAGCCGCTAGTGGTCGTGCTTGTCTGAAATTAAACTATATGCTGATCAACAGTATTAAACGAAATGGTCTATTTAAATGGCCATAGGATACACCGTATATTTGAATAAATTGTATGAGTTTGATAGCTACTGCTCCAAGGCCCTGCAAATGGTAATATGTCAAAAAAGGTTACCTTCCAAACTAATAAATATGCATTAAGGGAGAAAATACAAATAGTCTCTATTAAAACTGGCAAAAAAAAATTGCAGCAGGAGCCATGGGCTCCTCCTGATTCTAAAAAAAAAAGTTTGAGACACATGTACATACAGGCTTTAGAAACATGTTTTCTTTCACTTTGTTGGCAAACCAGTGCAGCTAATAAAAAAATAGATCAGCAAGGTCCATAGCTCCAACATGTTCTGCATGGAAAACAGTGCAGTTATGCTGACAACACCACGTGGCAACCATGACCTGCAAGCGCATACAACCATAGGCAAACAAATTATCCAGTCTAGGGATTCAGCATGTATGACATGCAATAATTCAAGATAAAACATATTCTTCTTTTTTTGCACTTCAGTAAGGTTCCATGTCGGCAGCTGAAAAATATGATCATAAGAGAAAAAAACATAGCTACTTATGCATGACTCTGATGGCACTTGTGCACACAGGCAATCAAGATGTTTGGTTTGTTGGCCACTGCATTGAAAACTATGGTGGTTGATTATACAGGATAAAACATTAAACAGTGCAAGTGAATCGTTAAATGGAAAGAGAACTTATTAGGACACTAAACTGACTTATTAAGACACGTAACTACAGGCAATCACTTTAACCATATTTGTGTTCACATCTCATTGACCTTGCAAACAAACCAAAACAATGGATCGGAACTCATGCTATGACATAATGGGCACCTTGTAACCCAATATACTCAGATAGGATGCAGCTTAATATTGTCATCTGGGGCTTCGAGCACAGATGGAATTTTCTTCATTTATTTTTTTGAATGAATGGGCATGACATGATTCAGATGTAATATAACCTCGAATGACCAGATGGAATTACAGATGGCATTACATATGATTCAGAGAAGCGTTGCATCATATATGATTCATGTATAAGATAACTTCGTTGTGCTAACGCTTCAATAAAAGTAAAAAATAGTATTTTTCTACGCACTTGTGGGCTAAATCTCTTTCTAATGCTAGCCCAAGCCTAACAACTCTTAGGCTAAATTTGCTCCTGATGCTAGCCCAAGCCTCAACCTCCTCTTGGACCGAAGCTAACCCGTGGCCCTGCTCCCACATCTCTCGTGTACCTCTCCGCACGTGGGCCAAGCCCATTGCCGGCCTCCTCCCTCCCTTGACCGAGGGCCACCCGCCGATATTGATAACCGGTTGTCTTGATAACTGGTTGCCAGTTGCCTTGTTATTGGCTTTAAGTTTTCCACTACCGTTAAGATCCATTCTTTCCATGACAGCTTTCAGAAACATCAGAGAGCTGCAATAATTTGAAAATACATTGTCAGTTCACAGAAAACTAACAAGTTATTTAAAATCTGACATCCTATGAACGACTGTATAGATAGGCTACGAATGAGGGCTGTCCATGCGCCTTGAACAGATCATCATATGTAGGACAACTCTGAAAAGAAATTGAGACCAAAGAATCAGACAGACATAAAAATTTAATATTTAATGTTTGTTTATTAGCAACTTTTGGATTACATCAGACATGTACATGTTTATAAAAAAAATATTTGTAAATAGAAATTAAAAAATAACATGCCAATTTCATATCAAAGTCATCGTATTAATCGATTCCACACAAATTCAATTGCCAAATATGTACCTTGTGTTTTAAATATCTTACCATGGGCAGACTGAGGTTTTTCCAGATTGGCTAGTATTGTTCAACAGGTGCATCACCCAGTAGTGGAAGAACACAAAAACCACCAACCAGATAACGATAATCATCCTGTAGGGATTAATTCGGCTTGATGGTAGAGACTTATCTGGACAATGCATGGCTGTCGAGCTTCACTGTTCTGGACAAAAAATTTATAGAACAATTTAGAACCACAGGCATCATACTCTATGAAAAGAAATGACAAGTTTTCGCTATAAAATACAACATTGCAGATGACTTAAAGACAACATCTTACTATGCAATATACAGGCAACGACCACGATAAATATCATTAAGATGATATGAAGCAACAAATAAACCACACAAATGATTCCATATACATATGTGATGTATCATCTTAGTCTACAAATTCAGCATTACATAAACGGTTGAGCTTGCATTCTGGATTCTCTCCAACTCGTATAGCTGTACACCATCTAGCAATGTAGCAAGTAATAACAAAGGTACAAACATACTTGCAGATTTTAGATATATTGTGATTAATATCATAACCTTTTTTTTATTAATGAAATTGGATATCACTTTTATGTGCTCCTAGCTAGAGATTAGCAGTTTAATCAAGTGAAGAACACACTCTAGTAGCGCATTATCACTCTAGTAGCACTGTAGCATATCTTACTTGCTCTTGCTCCATATTAGATATCTAATGCACGCTGCTAGCATCAACTACAACTTCTATACGCACACAGACTCTAGTGCACCGTCAGCACTCAGCACCCAAAGGAAATAATTAAGCACGCTGCAACTGCTAACAACCAACAAACAAGGCTGGATGAGCACGCTCTTGTTTCTGCTTCCAGACCTCCTTCCACGTTGCCGTAGTTCAGTAGTTGTAGGAAGACAGATCTTGGACGAGTCCATAGATCTCGTTTGCACAGCAGCGACACCAGATCGTGGTTTGACAATAGCAGATTCTAGCATTGAATAGTCAGATTGATGGATTAGTAGGCCATCTAATCTAACAGCACACAAAAATCAGCCAGAAATTGAACATATGGAAGAGAGAAATATTCAGGCTTGGTGGATGGATTGCTCACCAGTGAAGATGAAAGAAACCCATATCCGGACTGGTGGATCTCCACTTCAGCAGGCAGAGGAGATGAGCATCATGGACCCACGGGACCTCGCCGTTGATTAAGAAGGCCAAGGACCTTGTGCTTGCTCTGGGTGCCGTGAGCTAGCGCCACCCCAATCCCCCGTGGCGCAACCGAGCTCGCGTCGGACGGCACCCTTCTCCTCTCACACCTTGCCGATGTCGATGACGGTGGAGGACCCACGCGACTCCGCCTGATCCAGTCGCGGGACGTTGGCAAGCCTCCCCTGCGAGGTCGACGATGGGCAAGAGATGGAGGCGGCCAGGCCGGATTCAGCCATCGGTGAAGGATCCAGGCAGCGGCAGCCGACGTGAGGCGCAGGGGGCGTTAACGTGAGGCGTGAGGCGCAGGCGATGTGCCCCCCGTCCGCGATGGCCTCCCGACACACAGGCGGCGCTGCGCTGCAAGGCCAGCGTCAACCGGCGGCGGCTAGGGTTACACAAAGGCCGAGGAGTCGCGTGGGGTGCGATCGGGCGAGGGCACCGGGGAGGGGGGCGGCCGGAGAGGCGTCGGGGCGAGGGTTGGGGGACTCGCGGGATCGCAAGCTTGGAGGAGGTCCCACCTGCCGGCACCGCGGGATCACAGGCGTGAGAAGACGGACAAACCAAAACAAATATCGTACAAAAAAATGTCCATGCTTTGTTCTTTTTAGTCGTAGGAGAAACACAGATGAGGTTCATTTTGTTGAGAGCTTTTGTTTGCCCTTGTTTGTTTTGCTTTCTGACCTCAGTTGGGCTGGTTTTGCAACGAAAGAATTAGACTGGGCTTCCATTGATTCGCCAGGAGGCCCAGTAATAGCAGGCCCAGGACCATTGCCTTTCGGCAAGTTTTACTGAAAGCTCCAGTCGATTTGTCAATTGAAGAGTAGGGTTTTTTTTAGCAGAACTAATTGAAGAGTAGGTGAAATGAAGTTCTCGCTCCAGGGCTAACGTTATTGAGCCCACAATTGATTCGCCGTGTACTAATCGCATTCCCACAGGTCCACAGGCTACAGCTAGTACATCTTACGGAGTTACGGTGTAGCAGTGCAGTACAGGATACACAAAGCAGCATCAGGATACAGGGGTACACCATAGTCCATAATGTGTGTGTAGTGCAACCATACCATTACCATGTGCACGTGATCACGACACGCCAGCCCGTGAGCAGCCGCAGCCATGGCATCCACCATCCAGAGGACGAGGAGCGCACACTCTTCCATGTCAAAGCAACGGCCGTATTACGGTCAAACGCAACAGGAGCAGAAGCACCAGTTGTCGTCCTGGACTTCAGTCTGGACAGCCAGGCGACTAGCCAACCCCGCAACCGGCCGCCGTCGTCCGTCCCGACGTCCCGGCCGTCAACTGGGACTTGAGAGAGAGCGCCTGTCGGCGCATCGGCGGCAGCGTAACTGCCGCCGTCGCCTCCCTGCTCCGGGTGCCCTGCTCCCTTCCACTGCGCTGGAGTACGATGCGATTGATGGCAGCTCCGGCTTTGGTCACGTGAGTGGCCCCCACGCTGGCCCATGATCATCATTTGACAGGACTTGCTCAACCATCTCTGATCATATGACGCGACGTGCCGTCGGCTTGGGTTCAGACACGAATCAAATGCAGTGAAAGGCGAGTCCAGCGTGGAAGCTTGCTTTCAGACAAAGGTTAGGATCATTTGGTTCGTGTATTGCCTTTGTTGGACTGACTCCGACGGAGTACCAAACCCAAAAATAAGTCTTGTACAGTACTTTTGCCTATTAAATCGTGGCTCCAACGGATGACCTATCCACACGACGCATTTTGCCTTCAGGTCCAAACGAAACGCAAAAAAATGTCGCCTCTCCCCTCGCTACTCAAATCTCCGATGGTGGCCGCGGCGGTACGCGATGGAGAAGCCGGACCGCTGCCGGAGCTTGAAGCCGTCGGAGCGCCGCGTCCTCTGCCGCTGAAGCCGCCCGTCGGCGGTCGGCTGCGTCGTGGTGCTCTGCTTCCTCCCCTTCTTCCCCCTCTGCTCTGCTCTTCCTTTCTTCCCACCCCTTCTCTCTTCTTCTTTGCTGCTGTGGACAACTTGAAATGAAGATGCCGTCCGCCGCCCTTGCCTTGCTCTCCCACGGGCGCAAGCAGCACCTGCCGCCGCCGCCTCGCCTTCGCTTCCCCCTCCTTCCACTCCCCTCCTCACATCGAGCACATTGCCGCCCCACCTCCTCCAGAGCCCCCAGCCAAAGCCCGAGCTCGCGCCGTGAATCGCCGCTACTACTCACTCGCCTCTGCTCCCTCTTCCCTCTCGCTCTGCCCGCCCTCTCTCTTTCTCTTCCCTCCGTATCGCTTTCCTCCGTCCGTTGACATGCGAGAGCACCATCGGCCGCCGCTTGCCGCCACTCACTCCGGCTCGGGCTGGCTGATCTGCCATGGTCACCCTACGCCCGGGCGCGGCCGGATCTGAGGCCCCAGGCGCCCAGCCCTTCTCGCCCGCCCGTGCCGACGAGGCTCGCTGGCTCCACCTTCGCCACCGCCGAAGCCGGGGGCTACCGTCGCAGCCGCGCCCTCCGGATCCGAAGTTGAGGAGCGGAGGGATGAGGACCGGGGGCCGCCGGTGTGGTTCGCCGCCCTGGTCGTCGTCGGCCTCTACATCGTTGTGCGGTCCGCCGCCACCTTCCTCTTGTTCTCCCTGCTCCCCTGCTTCTCCCTCCCTTCAATCCGCGCCGAGGCAATAGCGCTGCCGAGCGCTCTCCCTTCCCCCTCTCCCCTTGCTGCCTCTCTCTCGTGAGAGACGGTTGCAGGCCGCCGGGGCCGTCGTCGGTGCTCCCCGGTCTGCTCGCCGCCTTGCTTCTCTCTCTCCCTCCGCTTTGTTCTCTCCCCTCTCTCTCTCTCTCTTGTGGACGGAAGGAACACGTGGAGGCGCCCGTGTGGGAGGCTGTGGCGCGGGTGAACGTCGAGGCCGCGGCGGGCGAGGTAGGCAGCTCGGCGGCGTCCTCGGCCGTGCGGTCATCGTCCGCTTCGGGATGGACTCTGCTTTTGCGTAGCTGTTGGAGAGGTCTGAGTTACGGGTGCGAGACCTTTTCCTGTGCATAACCTAAAACTGGGAAATGGGTGTCGTGTTTAGGTCTTCTGGTTGGAGACAGTCTTAGTACTACTACTCCAGCAGTTGGTACGAGGTACTCCGTACGGAATACGTAGTAAGACCATAACGACAGTTACATGAGCTCCAATTTGGTGTTGTTCTTATCGTGCCAAAGACAATTTTATTAATCTACAAATAAATTGAAGAACGTGCAAGAATAAGTGAACAAGTAAACAACGGTCCAAGAGATGATTATGCAAACACAAAATTAGGTTTCTTGGTTAAGGATGTCAATGGAGAATTCCCATACGGGGATAGCTCCCCATACCCGTCCCCCGCGAACGCTCACGGGAGAGCTTTTCCTCCCATCTCTGTTCCCGAGCATCGCGTGGCAGCTTGCCGGGGATGAGAGTGCCCAACAACGACGGCGCGTCCTTGGGCTGATGGGCCAGCTGCTGGCCTATGAGAATAGCTGGCTTCCAGAATTCCACAGAAGTCATGGTTGGTTCCGAAATAGACGGCTCAGATGATTGACTGCGGAGACAAGTCGATGTGTCCGACTTCAGATGATCTCATTGCATAATTTGAAACGAAGAGACCTAGGAAATCCAGAGTGACTATCAATTTAGAATTAATGTTCCCTTGCGGGCATAGCACGGAGTCCATATTTTATTTATTTATTTTGTCAATAGTTTGGAATGGACTAGGACTAATAACTACTCTCTCTATTATCATTAGATGTCATTTTAGCTTTGCCCTAAGTCAAATATTTGTATCTTTCACCATTGATCGTAAAAAAATTATATAGAACCACGCTATAAGATTTATGTTTTTAGATTACTATGAGAAATATTTTCATAATATATAATTTATATGTTGTGAAACTATAAGATTTTTTTTAAATGGCCGATCAAAGATAATAATGTTTGACTTAAGACAAAGCTAATGTGACATGTAAAAAAAGAACGGAG